GAAGAGATCAGTGGAACAGATTAGAAAACCCAGAAATAAAACCACAAACTTACCGTTACTTGATATTGACAAGGGAGCCAAGACATACAGTGTGAAAAAAAATAGCCTCTTCAACAGTTGATGTTGGGAAAACTGGGAGCCATATTCAGAAAACTAAGAGCGGATCCCTGCTTGTCACCATGCACTAACAGCAATTCAAAGTGGATCAGAGATCTCACCATCAGACCTGGCCATTAAAATAAAATAATGTCATTTGCAGAGAAATTGTTAGAACTAGAACAAGTCATATTAAATGAAGTAAACCAAGCTCAGAGTGACAAATGGCACATGTTCTCTTTGATATATGGAAGTTTAGATCTAAAATACATTAGTATATAACAAATTTCACAGGGTCCTAGATACTCACATACAGTGAGACCAAAAAAGGATAGTATAAGGAGTGAATTATAAAGGTGCAATACCTGATCACTTCTTCATATTTATATAAAATAATATACATACTGAAACCAACTCCAAAGATTCTGAATGCTTTACCTTGTATATAGTGTGTTCACATGCATATCTGTGGGAAGTTGAGAAGACAACACAGTTTCCAAAGAAGTGAAAAAATGCAGCAGTGGAGCTCACTGGACATTGATGAAAGTGAACTATACAACTGGTGGGTGGAGATAAGAGGGAGGGAAGGCGAGAGGATGAGGGAAACAGACACTGTACATAAGGAAATGTACTCATTAGCTGACTCATATGTAATTCCTCTGTATATCACCACTACAATAACACTGAATTGAGTTCTTAAAAAATACATGCTGGCTTTGAAAAGGCATGCTTTGAAAAAATTCTGCTTTTGTTTCCCTACAGTGTTTAGCCAAGAAAATGAGTCTCATATGTTAGTGTATTTAAAATGTTAGAAGCATCTAAACTATGTGAAAGACTTCTTTGCCAAAGCGTAATATTTGAAAAATTATTTATAGCTAGATTTTGTTTTTGGTCAGCCATGGGGCTTGAACTCCGGGCTTGGGTGGTGTCCCTGAGCTCTTTTGTTCAAGGCTAGTACTCTACCACGTTGAGTCACAGCACCACTCCCAGTTTTCTGGTGGTTAATTGGAGATGAGTCTTACAGACTTTCCTGCCCAGGCTATCTTTGGACCATGTTCCTCAGATTGCAGCCTCCTGCATCCTAGGATTGCAGGCGTGAGCCACCAGCACCTGGCTTGTAGTTAGATATTCCAAGTATCTATTAGAAGCATAGTTTATTCTCACTTCCCATAACACATTCCATATTAAACTTTGGTTATTACTCTGGCCATATACTGGTCATTCTTATTGACTCTTTTGTAATATAAAGAGAAAAAAAATGTATACTTGCAACAATACTAATCAGTTCCTGTTAAGGTATAATTTTTCTTACCTATTCTATATTTAGAAGGCTAAGAGACATACTTTTAAGTCTGTTTTGGGAAGTATTGATTTATATCTGTTGAGATATTCAGATCTCATTATGTCTTCTGAATCTGAAAATAGGACCTTTGATTTTTTTTTTTTTTTATTGTATCTATGATTTTTTTTTGTTGTCCTGGGACTCCTAGGTTCAAGTGAGCCTACCACTTCAGCCTGCTGAATGTGTATTAATTGTACCAGGAGTTTTCACCATGGTATTTCAGATGTGGATAAACTGTTTTGCTAAAAATAACCCTTTCTATTGCTTTCTCCTTCCTATCACTCTAACAACAGCTTTCATTAAGGTCCCTTCTGCCATCTTCATACATACATACATAGTTGCAGTATATCTTGAAATTATTCACTCTCCATCTTTCTTTTTCCGTCTCCTTCCCCTCACCCCCAAAGCAGTCCCATAGTTAGGATCATTTGTGGTTTCTTGTTTTCTGGGCAATTGGATTCCTGTATGGAAAATAATTAGGCCTATAATTTCTCATGGTTTTCCTATGGTATATTTAAAGTTTTAAGTCTTGAGTTCTTTGATCCATTTGGAATTGATTTTTGTACATGACAAGAGATAAGCTTAAGTTTCAATCTCTTGCAAGTAGATAATTAGGTGTTTGTTCATTTTGTTGTTGTTTTGTGCCAGTTCTGGGGCTTGAACTTAGGATCTGAGTACTGAGCTCGCTGCTGGGGCTTGAATTCAGGGTGCAGTCCTGAGCTTTTGTGCTCGAGGGTAGTGCTCTACCACTTGAGCCCTAGCTCTACTTTTGGCTTTTAGGTGGGTAATTGAAGATAGGAGTCTCAGGGACTTTCCTTGTAAAGCTAGCTTTGAACTCTGGTTCTCAGATTTCAGTCTCCTAGGTTGCTTTGATTGCAGGTGTGAGCCACTGCCTCCAGCTTAATAGCCAGTTTTTTGAGGAAGTTAACTGTTCTCCAATCTGTGCTGTTGCTCCTTTGTTGGAAATTAGATAACTGTAGTTAAGTGGTTTTCCTCCTGAGTTGTCTTCCTGTTCTGTTTCATTGGTCTTTGGCTCTGATTTTGTGCTGATTCTATGCTGTTTTGCTCTTTTTAAAAACTGTAGTACAGGGCTGGGAAGGTGGCTCAGTGGTAGAGCGCTTGCCTTGCATGCTTGAGGCCCTGGGTTTGATTCCTCAGCACCACATAAGCAGAAAAAAAAAAAGCTGGAAGTGGCGCTGTGGCTCAAGTGGTAGAGTGCTAGCCTTGAGCTGAAGAGCTGAGGGACAGCACCCAGGCCCAGAGTTCAGGCCCCACGACCGGACCCCAAAAAAAAAAAAACAAACAAAACTCTGTAGTACAATTTGAAGTTTGGTATAGTAATAACCCCAGCATTGCTATTTGCTCAGAATTGCCTTTGCTATTGGAGGTCTTTTATGCTTCCATATGAATTTTGGGGTTGACTTTCCTATTTCTGTGAAGAAAGAGATTGGAGGGGCTGGGGAGGTGGCTCAGTGGTAGAGCACTTGCCTTGCATTCCTGAGGCCCTGGGTTCGAGTCCTCAGCACCACATAAGCAAAAAGAAAAAATCCGGAAGTGGCGCTGTGGCTCAAGTGGTAGAGCGCTAGCCATGAGCTGAAGAGCTGAGGGACAGCACCCAGGCCCAGAGTTCAGACCCCATGACCGGACCAAAAAAAAAAAAGATTGGAAATTAAGTTATTGCATTATATTTGTAGAAGGCTTTTGTCAATGTGATCATTTATGATATTTTGACAATCCATGATCATGAGAGGTATTTTTCATCTTCTGGTGTTTTGGAATACTTTTTTCAAGATTTTATAGTTTTCATTGTAGAAATCTTTCAGTTCTTCTGTTTTCAGTTAATGACTAGGTATTTTATTGTTTTTGAGGCTCTTGGAATGAAATTGATTTCCTGCTTTCTTTCTCAGCCTCTTAATTACTGATATATAGAAATGCTACTGGGCTGGGAAAGTGGCTTTGTAGTAGAGTGTTTGCCTAGCTTTCATGAAGCCCTGGGTTTGATTCCTTAGCCCCACATAAACAGAAAAAGCTGGAAGAGGTGCTTGTGGCTCAAGTGGTAGAGTACTAGCCTTGAGCAAAAGAAGCTCAGGGACAGTGCCCAGGCCCTGAGTTCAAGCCCTAGGACTGGCGAAGAAAGAAAAGCTACTGGTTTTTTAAAAAAAAAAATCAGATCTTCAGTGATTTTTTTTAAATGGTATGATTAGGAATTAAGACTTTACTTGGAAGTGGCGCTGTGGCTCAAGTGGTAAAAATACTCGCCTTGAGCTGAAGAGCTCAGGGACAGCGCCCAGGCCCAGAGTTCAAGCCCCATGACCGACAAAAAAAAAAAAAGACTTTACTAAACTGTAGAGCAAATATATTATTACATCTCATTAAAATTTTATATAAAAATAGACAATTTCTCTTGGAAATTTCTCACTTGTAGAATGCTTGCCTAGCAGATACCTGGATTCATTCACTTTCCTTAGGGAAAGTGAATGAATGAATGAATGAATGAATGACTTGAAATAGCGTATAAGACTTCTGTTGTTGTTGGGTTTTTTTGGTGGGGGGATGGCTCTGATGCCTTAAATTCACTGTGCTTTTTTTGCTTAGAGCTAGTGCTCTATCACTTGAGCCACAGCTCCAATTCTTTCTGTTGGTGGTTAATTAGAGGTAAAATTTTCATGGACTTCCCTGCCTGGACTAGCGTTGAACTGCTAGCCTCAGATCTCAGCCTCCTGAGAGTTTGGGCATGAGCCACCAGTGCCTGGCTAAGACTTCTGGCTTTTGAGGCACTTTGAAGTAGGATATTTTTTCTTGTGCCTCTTTAGTTTTAGATAGATAAATTTGAGAAACACAAATATTGGAATATTTGTTGAATTATTAAGGCAGAAGACGAGAATAATAGATAAATTGCCATTCACAGCAGTGCTGAGGAAAAATGGAGAAAGGAAAAGCGGTGTTACAAGAATTGAATGAGAGGAAAGGCAGAGAAAAACATTAACTAATTGGAAGGCTCATTCAACCTTTTTTGTTTTTGTCTAGACATGTAAGTATTTGCTGATTAATAATCTCATAATGGATTATGATTTTAGAGGAGGTAGACTATTCAGCAGTCATTTCCTAATGTGTATAGCACCTTAGGTGCTAGTGTTATTGTAGGTGATAGGGTGATCCTGTAATTTGTATTATCTCAAAGATGAATTGTTTTGTTTGGAATTTTAGTGTACTGTATTTTTATATGCAGAGCAATGAATAGAATTGGAAACATTCTTATAAATGTAGTTTGCTTTTTTACTAGTGAAAATTACGTAATTTTAGAAAAATTAAAGGGTATTTGTGAAAAGTAGTTGGAAATTTAAAGTAATTTAGGTTTTCTTATAACATAGGTTTTCATAAGTGAAAATATTACTGAGTTAATGAGGATTGACAAATAAGTAGTTGCATATCTTATTTCTGAAATCAAGTTTAGTTTGTTTTTATTTTGCCTAAAATATCAGAACTTGTTATATGTAGAGGATATTGTAGTTTTTAGTATTAGAGAATATTCAAGTGTTAATGGAATTTTATTCTTTCATAGGTCATGTTTACTGGTGAAAATATTCCCATTCACCCTCATGTTTATAGCAATGGTCATATCTGTTTATCCATTCTAACAGAAGACTGGTCCCCAGCGCTCTCAGTCCAGTCCGTTTGTCTTAGCATTATTAGCATGCTTTCCAGCTGCAAAGAAAAGGTAGGACTTTTCAGAATTATTCCAAGTAATGTCTCTTCTTTCAGTTTAGGTAGGTTAACAATTTTAATATATAATTATTTTTATTTGAAAAGGGATTTGTCTTTTTGTTTATTATAGCAAATGTCATGTTTAGTAATAATTTGGAAAGCTACTTTTATATATCTCTTATTCCAAATATTTTTATGTTAATTAATGGCTCAGAAAAAGATTGCACCTCAGGATATAGTGAAGACACTTGTACACCCATGTTCATTGCTGTAAAACAGCTCACATGCCCTTCAATGGATGAATGGGTCAAGAAAATGTCATGTAATACACACACACAAATGGAATTTTACTCATTAAGAAGAATAATATTATGTTATTTTCAAGGAAATGAATAGGCATGGAAAAAAATTACATTACGAGAAATAAGGCTGATGCCGGTGGCTCACACCCATAATCTTAGCGACTCAGGAGGCTGAGGTCTGAGGATCGAGGTTCAGAGCCAGCCTGGGCAGGAAAGTTCATGAGACTCATTTCCAATTGACTGCCAGAAAACCAGTAGTGGAGCCTATGGCTCAAAGTGGTAAAGCACTAACTAGCCTTGAGCATAGGCTCAGGGACAGCACCTGAGTTGAAGTCCTACTGCCAACAAGAAAGAAAGAAAAAAGAAAAGAAGTAGGCTCAAGCTGAGCACCAGAGGCTCACACCTAGCTACTCAGGAGTCTGAGATCTGAGGGTTGTGGTTCAAAGCCAGCCTGGGCAGGAAAGTCCATCAGAGTCTTATTTCCAATAAACCACCAGGAATCTAGAAGTGGCTCTATGGCTCAAGTGATAGAGCACTTGGCTTGAGCTGAAGAACTGAGGGACAATTCCCATGCTCACCAAAAAAAAAAAAAAAGAAAAAAAAGAAATAAGTAGGCTCAAGAAAGATGAAGAACACATGTTTTCATTCAGATGTTGAAGAAATTAAATCTAAATTATAAATGTATATAAACATACACATATGTACACACACAAACATTTTAGGTGAGGTATAACGTGTGTGGGAGGAATCCAATGGTGTAAATTCATTGAACAACCAACTTTAACAAAATAAATGCCAGGAAGCTGGAATGTGGTAGGGTGGGGGAGGTGTCAAGCAAGGGGAAGGTGGAAGCAGATGAATGAAGAGAGGAGGGTGGACTAACGTAGTCATAATATTCCAGCCTTAATGTAACGTGCAGATGGAACCAGGTAACTTGAGGGGATGGGTGGGATTGGTCAGATGGGAGAAGAATGAGGAAGGATGTAACATTGATCAAGATGCCTTGTACTTAACAAACTGACATGTTGAACTTAAAACCCCTTTTATAACTACTTAAAGATTATTGTTTAAAAAGAAAACTTGTTACATACACACACATTTTTTTTTTTTTTGGGTCTGGTTGTACAGCCTGAACTGTGGGCCTGGGCACTGTCCTTAGCTTTTCAGCTCAAGGCTAGAGCTCTACCACTTGAGCTACAGGGCCACTTCCGGCCTTTTCTGCTTATGTAGTACTCTAAGGAATCGAACCCAGGGCTTCATCCATGCAAGGCAAGCACTCTACCACTGAGCCACCTTCCCAGCCCTTGTTACATACTTTTTAATTTTTTTTTACTCCTTTTGTTGTTGTTGTTTTTTGCTCTTCCTGGGGCTTGAACTCAGCCTGGATGCTGTTGCTGAGCCTTCTTGTGCTCAAAGCTAGTATGCTAACACTTGAGCTACAGTGCCACTTCCAGCTTTTTCTGAGTAGTTTATTGGACATAAGAGCACAGACTTTTCTACTGGGGCTGTCTTCAAACCATGATCCTCAGATCTCAGCTTCCTGAGAAGCTAGGATTATAGGATTGAGCCACTGTCACCTGGTATACCCCCCCCCTTTTTTTTTTTGTCAGTGATAGGGCTTGAACTCTGGGCTTGGGCTCTGTCCCTGTGCTCTTCAGCTCAAGGCGAGTGTTGTACTGCTTGAGCCATGGCACCACTTCTGGTTATCTAGTGGTTTATTGGAGATAAAGAGTCTCACCAACTTTCCTGCTTGGGCTGGCTTTGAATCGTGATCCTCAGATCTCAGCCCCCTGAGTAACTAGGATTACTGGCGTGAGCCACCAGTACCTGGCACACCTGTTCTTTTAATCTGAACTTTAGTTTCATAAACGTGAGCAAGGAAAAAGTGTACAAGAAATTCTTATTTCTGGATGTTACAGTGGGAGCCCAAGAATAAGCATCCTAGTTCCTTCTCCCTCTTTGCCAGCCCTCATCCTATGGGCTGCTTTTAGGGCATTCACCAGCAGCAAGAGCTTTCCTATCCTAATGCATAGGTTGAAGGGGAAAGACTGTTTACCAGTAGAGTTTTCAGGGCTTTTCTGCGTGTTGTTTGAAATCCACAGATTGTGTATCTAATGGAAATGAGGGAAAAGAGCAGAATGAAAATCACGAGTTGAAGATACTTTTAAAATAGGAAGTATGGACACGTACACACACACACACGTTTAGTACTTTCTCTTCATAGTTTTCTGTGTGTGTGTGTGTGTGTGTGTGTGTGTGTGTGTGTGTGTGTGTGTTGTGTTGTTCGTTTTTATGCAAATACTGGGGCTCAAACTCAGGGCCCAGGTACTGTTCCTTAGCTTATTTTACTCAAAGTTGGTGTTCTACCATTGAACCACAGCTTTATTTCCAGCTTTTTGGTATTATTGGAGTGTTACAGACTTTCCTGCTTGGTCTGCTTTGAATCATGATCTCTACTCATAGCTCGATCTCATAGCTCAGCCTTTTGAATGGCTAGGATAACAGGTGTGAAACCCTGACACCTGGTTCATAGTTAGTTCACTTTTAAATGATTACTTAGAGTCTAAAATACTTTTTTTTTTTTTTTGGTGCTGGTCTTGGGGCTTGAACTCAAGGCCTGGGCAAGGTCTCTTAGCCTGTTCACTCAAAGGCTAGCACTGTACTACTTGAGCTAGAGTTCCACTTCTGCTTTTTAGTGGTTAATTGGAGATAAGAGTTTCATGGACTTTCCTGCCTGGACTGGCTTGGAACCATGAACTTCACATCTGTCTTCTGATTACCTAGGATTATAGGCATGAACTGCCACTGAATCTGAAATACTCTTAAGCCACTGTTTTTTTTTGTTTTTTGTTTTTGTTTTTTTTTGGGGGTCCGGTCGTGGGGCCTGAACTCTGGGCCTGGGCACTGTCCATTCAGCTCTTCAGCTCAAGGCTAGTACTCTACCACTTGAGCCACAGTGCCACTTCTGGCTTTTTTCTTTTTGCTTATGTGGTGCTGAGGAATCGAACCCAGGGCCTCATGCATGCAAGGCAAGCGCTCTACCACTGAGCCACCTTCCCAGCCCCTTAAGCCACTGTTTTACCCAAAATTTCTTAAAATACTAGAGGCTTCTTGGTATTTGCTTTAAAAACAACAACAAAAAATTATTTGTTCAATAATAAGCATGGGGAATGAGTTAAACTGAGTGTTTCAGAATGAAGAGTTCTTAGTACCCAGTTTTTATCTACCATATAAGAACAAAAAAGGCTAACAATTTAACTGTGATACACTATAAATGAGAAAATACTATCTCTTTTAAGGAATATTAAAAAGTATAAAATTGGGAACTGGGAAGTTGGCTTAGTGGTAGAGTGCTTGCCTCGCATGCATGAGGCCCTGGGTTCGATTCCTCAGCATCACATAAGCAGAAAAAAGCCTGAAGTGGCTCTGTGGTACAGCTCTAGCCTTGGGCTGAAGAGCTGAGGGACAGCGCCCAGGCCCAGAGTTCAGGCCCCATGACCGACAAAAAAAAAAAAAAGGTATAAAAATGTAGAGAAAGTGAGGTACGTATGTATAATATATCATTTTTTAACTTCAGCTTCCTCTTTGTTGTGGATTTTTTCTAATCTGTACTATAAACATAAAATTGAACTTTTGTTTAAGCCTAAGGGCTTACTCATTTGTTTCTTCATATTTGTTGCTTCTCATCATACTTGTCCTATACATACACTTTGAACTTTTATATGTGAGACAGAGCTATATATCAGGGCTTCTATTTTCCTATTAAGCGTATTAGTGAGACAGTAACTACAAGATTTAATAAGAACAGTAAGAGATGATCATTAATGATATCTGCACATGGCTCTTGCGTATGTTTTATGATGGCTAGCTTTTGTTTATATTTACATGTTAATGATTTAATGGTATATTTAATTCCTTTGTCTACCCCTTCTGTGTGCCTCATATTCTAGTTTGGCTGTTACTGGTGTTTCTTGCACACTTGATATGAGAATCATTCTATTGAAATTGGTGATAAACTGTTTTTATTAGAAACACTTTAATATGTTGACTAAGATGATATAGTCTTTAAGCCAATTTCTTGAGAAATACAGTAAAATTCAAACACTTTTTGGGTATTTGACATTTTTACTTTGTTAGGTTACAAAGATGAAAAGGAATGAAGTATTCAGGCTTATGATTTGCTCATTTTAATTTTTTAGGAATATCTCATATGTCAGCAGAGTAAATATTAGTCATTGTGTAAGATCTTGTACTCTAGTGTTCTTTTTTATTAAAAGAAATTATCATTAGCTGGGCACTGGTGGCTCATGCCTGTAATCTTAGCTACTCAGGAGGCTGAGATCTGAGGATCACGGTTCAAAGCCAGCCTGAGCAGGAAACTCCGTGAGACTCTTTTTTTTTTTTTTTTTTGGTCCGGTCGTGGGGCCTGAACTCTGGGCCTGGGCGCTGTCCCTCAGCTCTTCAGCTCAAGGCTAGCGCTCCACCACTTGAGCCACAGCACCACTTCTGGCTTTTTTCTTTTTGCTTATGTGGTTCTGAGGAATCGAACCCAGGGCCTCAGGCATGCAAGGCAAGTGCTCTACCACTGAGCCAACTTCCCAGCCCTCCGTGAGACTCTTATCTCCAATAAACCACTAGAAAATCGGAAGTGGCGCTGTGGCTCAAGTGGTAGAGCGCTTGCCTTGAGCTGTAGAGCTGAGGGACAGCGCCCAGGCCCAGAGTTTAAGCTCCACAACTGACAAAAAAAAAGAAAATTATCATTAATGCTACCTTAGCTAAGATGATAATTATGTATATGAAGGTCTTTAGAAGTACCAATCAGAATGACTGCTTTCCCTCCTATTGGATGGTTCCTCTCAACAGTACTTTCTCATAGGATGGCCATCCTGAAATGATAGCCCTTCTGACTAGCCTCACATCAGGAAGGTTTCCCTAAATCTCTTACCTTCATTAATTTAACAACTAAATCCGAATACTATGAAACATTGAAGATTAGGGAAAAATCAAGTTGTTGGGAAAGTTGACAAAGGGAGACTTATAGCTGAGCATATCTATCATATGATCTATAAAGCTTAGTAGCTTTAATGTAAATTTAATATGTTTCCTCCTCTTTATAGAAAGTTACTTGTTTCTTGTGTCTGGTTAGTATCTTAACAGTGCTCGGCAAAGATTTGTACCATAATCTGTCTTCAGGGTTTCTGGCATCACTATTTCCATTGTAGTTCTCATGCATAGCTGCTGTACTTAACTGTTCTAGTCAGGGTATACGAATAACAGAAAGACCAGTGTATGGTAGAATGCTGATACATATTTTTCCTCTTGCATTATTTTCTGTTTCCTTGGTAATACTGTATAATAAAGTAATAAACCTGTTTAGAGGTTAGGTAGGCTTTTCTGTTTTAATTAAGAGGGAGACAATTAGGGGGAGACAAACTGTAAAGAGTTGGGCTTTCATAACTCTTACCTCCCTTTAGTTGATAATCATTCTCTATTGATCACCCCTAGAACTTAACCCAAAACTCCTGCCCCTACCACATCTCTTTGGAAAAAAAAAAAAATCTTGGTGTCAACAGTTTACATTTCCCAAAGTAGATTTATAAGCTTTTATTCTTGCAGTTAGCCATTGTTTTTATAAATTGTGTAATTATTTTAAGCTTTTATTAAATCATTTCTCCATATTCTATTTTAGAATGTAGCTGTTTAAATTCTTCTTTTGTTTCAGAGACGACCACCAGATAATTCTTTTTATGTGCGAACATGTAACAAGAATCCAAAGAAAACAAAATGGTGGTATCATGGTAAGAAGTTTTAATTTGGAATGAAAAATCTTTTGTACTTTGATTTGAAAGATTGTATTTCCTAAAACTTGGGAAAATAACTGCTATATTTTTGTAACATGGAGAACATTCTTTAAAATATTGCAAGATATTTTTTGGAGAAGTTACACTAGATTTTTTTTTTTGTGGGACAAACAAAATAGCTACTATACAAGTAAAATCTAACATTAACATTCTAACATCTTTTTATTATAAAAAGAAAAATAATGTCTAGATTAAAACAAAAAGCTAAAATAAAATATGGGCTCTTGAGAAACCTGGCATTTGAAGGAAGACGTTTTGATTCCTTGTGTACTCATGTAGTTCCCATAGTTGGAGGAAGGGTAGGATGCATTGTTACAGGTGCCTCAAAACTTCTCTGATTCTAGTATTACCCTTCAAAAAAATATGAGGTTCTGGGTTGGGAATGTGGCTTAGTGGTAGAGTGCTTGCCTAGCATGCATGGAGCCCTGGGTTTGATTCCTCAGTATCACATAAACAGAAAAAGCCAGAAGTGACACCATGGCTAAGTATTAATTAGAGTGCTAGTCTTGAGCAAAAAGAAGCTCAGGGACAGTGTGCAGGCCCTTAGTTCAAGCCCTAGGACTGGCAAAAAAAAATGAAGTTCTATAAAATTTATCTTTATGAATAAATTATCCTTTTTTGGTCAGTACTGGGCATGGAGCTCAGGACCTCAAGTGCTCTATGTAACTTGAGCTATATTCCCAGACTTTTTGTTGTTGGTGGTTGTAGGGCTTGAACTCTGGGTCTGGGCGCTCGCTGTCGCTCAGCTCTTCAGCTTGAGGCAAACGCTCTACCACTTAAACCACAGCGCCACTTCCCATTTTCTGGTGGTTAATTGGAGATGAGAGTCTCACTGACTTTTTTGCCCAAGCTGGCTTTGAACTGTGATCCTCAGATCTCAGCCTCCTGAGTAGCTAGGATTACAGGTATGAGCCATTGACACCTAGCGTTTTTTTGTTTTTGTTTTTTTTAAGATAGGTTCTCATTTGCTTTGCCTAGCTTGGTCTCATACTCTCTAGTTTCCTATTTTTGCCTCATGAGTAGCTGGGATTATAGAATTAACCACTACACCCAGCTCATAAATGAAATACTTTTTAAAAAAAAATTAGCTTACATTAGTAATATAGAAGATATTTCATTGTGAGATCCACACATATATTTACAATATGTTCCAGTTAATCTTACCACCTCTTAGATCACTGTCCCTTCAAATGAGGTACATTTAATGATTTAAAACTTGTTTTCTTACAAACAAAAAGTTTAGACTGGTTGCCAGTGGTGCTGAAATACAGAGGATTATGGTTTGAAGTTAGCTGAGGAAGAAAAGTCTGCAAGACTCCATCCCCAAAATAACCAGCAAAAAGCAGGGCTGGAGAAATTGATCAGGTGATAGAATGGCAGCCAAGCAAGCAGTCTAAGCAAGTATGAGGCTTTGAGTTCAAATCCTAGAGTCAGCCAAGGCTTATGTCCTTATGTTCAGGTAGTGGTGAGCCTATTATTTTTGTTTCAGAAAAATGATCACTAAGCACCTGTTCCCTTTTTAGCATACAGTTTCCAAGAAATATGAACTCTTGCTGTTTCTTTTATTTTTTTTTTGCTATTAATACTGTCTTTGAGGTAGAATTTTAACTAGGCTAAGTGATTGTTCCTCCACAGCCTCTGAAGTAGCATGCCACCATGCCCAACAGACTATTTAACATCATCTAGTTTTCAAAGGATTATAAAAACAGTTTCCATGTGTGACCTGCAAAGTTAATCATAAAGATAAGAGATTCAGGACTGGAGCACCTGCTTAGTATGCACAAGGGCCTAGGCTTATTCCTCAGCAAAGCCTCTCCCTCCCACACCCGCCCTCTTAGAAAAGCTTTAACTATTTTTTGTCTTTTTGTAGTGCTGAGAGATCTGATCTAACCTAGAGCCAAGTACACGCTAGGCAAGCACTTAGCCACTGAGCCATGTCCTTAGCCTTGGAATTCAGTAAATTTAGTGAAACATGTAGCATTCAATTTCAAGAAACTAGAATTCTAAGTTTCAGATAGACTGTTTTGTGGTCCTCCTGTGTGTTGCTAACCAACAGAATTGGGTCAAGGTGGGTCAGTGTGTCAGGCGCAAACAGAGAGGCAAGAGAAGGTTTGATTTACAGAGAATATGTATACTCTCAAAGGTGCTTCCTGGAGGCAAGGTAGAGATACAGAAATAACAAGACTGAAATTCAGTTCATCTCTAATCTCCTAATTTTATAAGAGAAGTCAGATGACAAACCAAAGTTGAGCTGCCAGATACCAGAGTTGTGTTCTTGGAAAAAAAGCTTCTCAGCTCAAACTCATTTCCACCAAATTATTATTTAAACTTCCTTAAAAAACCTACTGCCTCTGGCTGGGAATGTGGGTCAGTGGTAGAATGTTTGCCTAGCATGCATGAAGCCCTGGGTTTGATTCCTGACTATCACAAACACAGAAAAAACTACAAGTAGTGCTATGGCTCAAGTGGTAGTGTTAGCCTTGAGCTAACCCCCCCCCCCCAAAAAAAAAAAAAAAAAAAAGCCTGCTACCTCATTGAACTCATGGGTGGACACAGGAGAGAGGGACTGGGAGAGACTGAGGGAACAGACTATCAATGTTTTCCAGCTCTTTTTTTTCTTGTTGGTTATGGGCTTGAACTCAGAACCTGGGCATTGTCCCTCTTTTGATCAACACTATTGCTCTATCATTTTGAGCCACAGCTCCACTTCTGGTTTTCTGGTGGTTAATTTGAGATAAGAATCTCACGAACTTTCCTGCCTGGGCTGGCTTTGAACCTGGATCCTCAGATCTCAGTGGCCTGAGTAGCTAGGATTACAACAGGTATAAGCTACATTGCCCAGTTCCAGAATTCTTAGTTTCCATTCACTGAAGAATTGAGGTCTTATATGTATTAGGATGAAAATTAGTGTTGCCAGTTAAGGCAGAGGTCCATATTCTTTAAAAAATATCAGTTGTGGGGCTGGGAAGGTGGCTCAGTGGTAGAGTGCTTGCTTTGCATGCATGAGGCCCTGGGTTTGATTCCTCAGCACCACATAAGCAGAAAAAGCAGGAAGTGGCTCTGTGGCTCAAGGGGTAGAGCACTAGCCTTGAGCTGAAGAGCTGAGGGGCAGTGCCCAGGCCCAGAGTTCAGGCCCACGACCAAAAACAAAACAAAAAAAGTACAAGGTTGCCGGGTGCCCGTGGCTCACACTTGTAATCCTAGCTACTCGGGAGGCTGAGATCTGAGGATTACAGCTCAAAGCCAGCCCTGGCAGGAAAGTTTGTGAAACTCTTATCTCCAATAAACCACCAGAAAACTGGAAGTGGCACTGTGACTCAAGTGGTAGAGTGCTAGCCTTGAGCTGAAGAGGTGAGGGACAGCACTCAGGTCCAGAGTTCAAGCCCCACAACTGACAAAATAAAATAAAAAAGTACAAAGTATCTTTTGTTACATTATAAAAAATATTATGAAGAAGTATAAATATATTGTTGGTTTATTTTGCTGGGAATCAAATCCAGGGCATTTGCTATTCATATAGCTACAGGCCAAGCCATTGGTTTTGTTTTTGAGATGGGATTTTGCTGTATAGCTCTGTCCAGTCTGTCCAATCTTGAAGGTGGTAGGTGATCCAGTCTAGCCTCTCATTCAAGACCTCCCTGTTTCAGCTTCCCAAGTGCTGTGTTACAGACATTCATCACTGCTGACTAGACTATCACTGAACAACTACATTCTGAACCTTAGATAAATGTTTTTGTATCTGATACTGAAATTTGAACCCATGGCTTTACACATGCTAGGAAAAAACTGCTGCTGAGTTGTATCCCTACCTCCTGACTTATTTTCAAAGTCTAGTCTGTTTTCTCTAAATTATAGGAGCATGAAATCTTTGTTTCTCCAGCCATTAGACTCTACTGTGATGTTATGGGTTTTGTTTTTATTTTTGTTTGTTTTGTGGGTAGGAGTGTGTGTGTGTGTGTGTGTGTATGGTTTTTTTTCAGTTTTTATTTTTTGTTTTTTGTCAGTTGTGGGGCTTTTACTGGCCTGGGTGTTGTTCCTAAACTTTTTCCACTCAAGGCTAGCACTCTACACTTTGAGCCACAGCGCCACTTCAGTTTTCTGGTGGTTCTTTGGAGATAAGAGTCACACTGCCTTTCCTGCCCAGGTTGGCTTTGAACCATGATCCTCAGATTCAGCCTCCTGAGTAGCTAGGATTACAGGTGTGAGCCACTGGCACCTGATAATTTTACTGAGTTTTGCTCATCATTTGGTTTCTTTTAGTCTTGGGAATTTTATTAGCAGTATATCAGTTCTTCCATGGAACAGTAATTTTTTTCTGAAGAATAGTCTTCCAAGATAGAGAAATGCTTTAAATTTGTTTTGTAAAATATTTCTTTATTTTTGTTAGTTATTAGGGCTTGAAGTCAGGGTCTGAGCCTGTCTCTGAGCTTCTTTGCTCAAGGCTAGCACTCTACCACTTAAGCCACACCTCAACTTCTGCTTTTTGTTTTCTGTTTTTTTGTTTGGTTGTTTGGACTTTCCTGCCTGGGATGGCTCAGATTTCAACCTCCTGATTCACTAGGATTATAGGCATGAGCTACCGATGCCTGGCTGAAATAAATTTTGTACTAAAAGTTGTCTGTGACATACAGTGTGTTTAAGCTACCAGAAAGTATAAGTAATTTGGTGGGATTTTTAAGTGACTTGTGCACATATATTTATACTTGTTGAAATTGATACATTGAATTAAGACTCCTTTGTACAACTTAAAAATAATAAAAATTAAAATTTTCCAAAAGAAAACTTAGACTAGCAATCAGTTTTAAAATCAAATTTCATTGTTGAAGGTGTGTTACATTACAGTCTAATGAGCTGCCATATTACTTTGTGTTAAATAGCATGGCAATGATGGTTGTAAGTTTACTTCCTACTCCTTACAATTTTAAAGTGTTGTTCATAAGAGAATTCTCTGGTTATAATATGAATTGGACTTTTTATTTTCAAGGATTGGGGAGCCAAGTCAGATAAGTCAACCATGTTCTTGCTACTTGAAATTATTTCTACATTAGACTAACTTGTAGATTTAATTTAAGCATACCTGATGTTTAAACTTATCTTTTTTCTCATTCTCTTAAAGATGATACTTGTTGATGCCACTGTTGTCGTCATCCTCCTAGCAGAAGATAGTCCTACTGAGAAAAATGAGCACTTTGATCATTCAGTCTTTGAACTTTAACATTTGACTGGAAGTGACCTATAGGCAATGAAGACTACTTCCTTTTACTGCATTTTTACTCGTGTGCATTCTGGGCGCATGTTGATCGCTGGTTCAGTCCAGGCAACTGACATGCTTTTATTAGTCATACAGTATTAATGCAGGTGTCAGGAAATGTCAAATATAATTCCATTTTTTTTTATTTTATTTTTTTAAGCTTTTGGAACAGTTCCAGGTCCTCATGTATTGTGCAATAACAATGACTTCCCTGGTGGTTTGGGGACGTTCATTGCCGGCAATGGACGTTTGTAACAGGAAACGTTTTCATTAATTCCTGCCGCTCCGTCATTAATGCATGATAGGGCCTATGAAATGAATTTATCGGTTATAGTGGGAGTATAATAAATAAAGTGAGGGATCCAGCATTGCTTTGAAAGTTTCACCCCAACTGTTTATATTTGGATTCTATGCACTGTGATCCTAATAACATGCGTCTTTAAAGGACTATAATGAACGATCATTGCGTATTTATTTAATTGTTTATATCTGCTGTCAAATTGTTTTGACATGGAAGGCTTTCAAATAACATTGGCAGAGAGGTACAATATGTTATCCCTATGGTGAAAATAAATTCATTTGTTGTAAATAGTTCCTCAGTCTCTGGAGTCAAGGAATGGAAAATATAGGGTTTAATCAAGGCTTTACTTGGGAAGTAAGGAAGCTGCCAGTGATGGTTAAATTGCTGCAGTCCATCCTTTGGGCTTGTTATTTGTATATTAAAGATTTTTTTTCCAAGTAGATTATGCTGTTACTTCTTGCTAGCCATCAGCATGAGCCCTACTGCCTAAACACTATTTGATTTATTTATGTTTGGAACATCCTAAACATTTTTGTTTGCGATCTTGTTTCTTTTTGTTATGTTTTACGTCAAATTTGAATGTTATAATTACCTTAATTGAAAAACTTTTGTCACATTTTTTTCCTTGTAAATTTTCTTGTCCTTCAATCCTGTACCCTAAAATAAGAAATACACTTTTTGACAGAGGCTTAATGTTTTAACAAAATGTGTGGACATTTTTATTTTAAGATTTGGGCAAAAGTACACTATAAAATGGTATGCTTGCTTATTTGTCTCACACAATCATAGTTTTTCCTGGAGGGATTTTTGTTTTGTTTTCTTGTTAGTGAAAAGACTTTGCTCACAGCTAGGTAAGGTTTTTCTATATTTTAAAAAAAATTGTTGAAAAGTCCCATTCTCAGTACATGTAAGTTAGTGATACTGCAACTAGGTTCTCTTTTTAAAAAGCAATTGATGTATTTTATAAATTACCTTTTCACATATGCAAAAATCTGTTTTTACTACAGTGTTATTTTTACTAATGCCTTATTGTTGCACTCTTTGAAGTATCCTGCAGTGAATATATTAATCAGTATGGGCTTAAACATAAAAGCCAATTGGCTGAAAGATTTGAAATATGTACCCCAGTAAAACCATCCAATAAGCAGTTGATAAAGAATCTTGAAAAAATTGTTTTTAATCTCTGTGTAGATGACATTTTGTAGCTTTGTACATGTTGTTAATTAAGGGCATATAATTTTACATACAAAGTATGATTGCTGAACTCAGGGGTGGGTAGACTTCAAAAATTTATGTCTGTCATAGAAATAACTAGAAAAAGATATTAAAATCATGGCCAGCCACCAAATTATGGAGACTGTTTATACTGCTAAATAGCAACTACCACTTTTAAAATTTTTAAGTATTTTTGTTCTATCGTGGCTAGATAGTCATAATTCTTACAGTGATCAATTTTATTAGCTGGCCTATTCAACCTGGTTAGAAAAAAAAAACTTTGAATTATTCTGAGTTTTTAAACTGCTTTTAATACAAAAATTACAGCTGTATATTATGTATTTTCATATTTTACATAACTACCCTAATCTACTGATTGACTTGATCTCTTTTCCATTGGGGGAGGGATATAGGGAAGTCACTCTCCATCTTGCTGGTCCTCTTACTAAAGTCCTTTTATGAAGAAATGACCTTTCACCAAAGGAATTAAGATACTAGGTCAAAGATGAACAATGCTACACTATATTGATGAATAGGTCATGTTGTACCTTAGTCAAGTTTTTTATAATAGCATTTTTACATACCTCTCTCTAAATATAGATACCACAAAATGAAATGGAGGGGGAAAGTAGAAAACCAAATACTTTTGGTGTGTTATGGTTCAAAGAGAAAAGCAAAAAGATGAAAAAATTTAGGAACACCAACCATTTAAATTTCATGATCAAGTTAACATTGCTCCCTTGAATTTAAGAGTGATTGGAAACTCTTTTGTTTGCACTTAGATTTAATCATTTTATATGTAAGCTACTTAATTGAAAGTCATAGGACATTTATCTTAGTCATTCTATTAAGGGGTAAGTAAGGGCTTTGTAATAAAAGAAAAATATTTCACTATAGTTTATTGTTTGAAAACAATCAAAATACCAAGAAATTCACATAGACATATGCTTTTCTCTGCATTCCTTCCACGAGCACTAGGCCTACAGAATTATACATTCATACTTAGTTGTGTTATTTTTCCTCCCTCCTTCAGTCCATCAATCCCTTCTCTCCTTCCCTCCCTCCCTTCCTTTTATTTATTTTAGGCCATTCTTCTGGTTTGCCAATTTTGCTAAGATTGTAAGTCAGTTTTTTATTTATGCATGCTTAGATCATGAACTTGGTGCCCTTTCAAAAAGTTTTTATCAGAAACTTAATGCCATAAGTTTTAAGAAGAAAGATTTCTGTTTAAGGGAAATTAAAAATAAATTTTATGGCTATTTAGGAATTATAGTTTATTTCTAATAAACTTGTAATATGTACATTTTCATTTAGTCAGTAGGAAATAAAGTATTTTTAATCACCAGAAGAAAGTGCTGGAAATAGCTTTTATGTAGTCAACAGCAGTTCAACTGGACAACGAGCTAATCCTCCTTTTGAGTAGGTACATAAATACCTGTTAAACGATAACTACCTGAGTTTATTGCTTTTTTTCCTTCTAAGTCTTAAATACACAATCATTAGATAGCTGTGATGGATAATAACTTGCCAAAATTATGAAACATATCTAATGACTGTTTCCAGATGGCATCAAAGGTGAATTGACAAAAACATGAAAAGGACTTAGTGATATGAAAATGCTCTAAGTAGTTGTTCCTGGTTAATCAAGCCCTTTAAAAAAGGCCTATTGTTTTTGAGAATCAAGATATTTAGCACTTGTTTAAAGCTTCCTAAAAACAAGAGGAGGTACTGTGTTACAAAAAAAACCAAAAAACCTTTTAATAAAAAATTCAGTGTCAATAGTTACAAGCCTTTATGGTTATTGCTGCTTATATTCCTTTATCTCACTCATTTTTTTGTGTACATAGATGGAAGCTTAAAGCTTATAATTAAAAAAAATTTTTTAAACCTTATACTTATGTGTAATTGTGTATGTATGTAAATTGATTCTCAAGAAAATACCTGAGACTTAACCATATCTTACTTTTCTAAAGACTAGACTCATAGTTAAAGTCAGCTACATTACTATTCTGGTTAGGCTAGTGTATTTTATGACTTTGTATGATTGATGAAAGTGTCCTTTAGTCTGTGCCGTTTGGTTGCAATCTTTCTTTGCAGAGCTTTTCAGGGGTGTGTGTGTGTGTTGATCCTGAGGCTTAAAAACTCAGGCCTGAGCGCTGTCCAGGTGTGTATGTCCTGCTTTTTGAAAGTTAATTGGAGATAAAAGTTTGACAGATGTTCCTGCCTGGACTGGCTATGATTCTCAAATCTCAGCCTCAAGGATTACAGATATGAGTCTCCAGCACCTGGCTCTTTCCAGATTTTTTAAAAAAATACTTGCTATTATAAAGGTGGTGTATGGAGGGGTTTCAGTTACAGAAGGCAGGTAAAGAATATATTTCTTTTTGGACAGTGTCACCCTTTCCTTTGATCCCAGTTTTTTTCCCCCAGCCCCACCCAAAAGTTGTACAGTTCATTTCCAACATGGTATCTAGTGAGTACCACTGCTGCATTTGTTCACCTTTTGTCCCTTATTAAATCATGTTTGTCCCTTTTTAATCTTTCTCTTTATTCCCGTTCTCTTCATTGTTCAGGATTCAGTCTTCAGTGGATTACTTTTCCAATTCAGGGTTACTATTATTATCATTGCATCACCATTTTAAGGTTAAGAAATCTAAAGAACTAAGATAATTGAAATTATAGTATTTTTAAATTAAAAAATATGCCCTTCTTTACAAATAAAACAATGGTTTTTTGATGCCTAATGGTTTCATCAGTTGGTGGATAAATTTATTGAATAATTGACTTCAGTGAACTCTGACCCATAATTCAGTTCTTCAGTACAAATATTGAAGAAACTTTATTTACTTTTTGGGTGGGACTTCTCCCAAAGGCTACATATTCTCAAATAAATTAAATTCCTAAGGTATTTTGACATGGGAACTAATCATGTGCTTCAGGCTTACTTCTGCCTAAAAAGTTAAAGTTATGGTTCTGAATGAGATCCTGGTTAAGTGAGGTACTGTCATTCTCAAATTTAATAGATTTGTATTTAGTGTTGAGTCTTCAGAATGACTATGTGATTGTCTTTAAGAAAAACAATGTTGACAGTACCTGAAGCTAGTTTGAATATGTGGAAGTATTTTCTGAGCAGAAGCTAGTCTAAATGTACCCCTGAGCTCTGAGCCTACTTATGAGTAAGCATTGACTAGGAAGCAGATTCAGTTCTTGTTGTGTTTCTTGGGACTGCTCAGCATGGATTTTGAGCAAAGGTCATTTGTATAATTTGAGCTGTTTTTCTTCCAAAGCATAAAAGATTATACTGGACTTAACCTTGTTCTGTGACCTAACATCAGGTTCCCTGGTATATGGAAAGATTCAATAGTCCTACTTATCTTAAATCCTAAAAAGGACTATTAAAAGAACTTTGTAGATTGTATCAGATACCACAAAAAGTCAAGTCTTTCAATAACCATATTGTTCATGTAAATGCAAATTGTTAGGCTTGAGGTAAAATAATTAAATGGATTTGGGGATTGGTTATCTAGTAGACAAGAATTAAGTGCATGTTCAGGTGAAAATGAATTTGTTCATTTTAATTGGCACCGTTTTCTTTTGAATATTCAGAAATGCAAACTGTTCATTTTACTGATGGAAATGGAAATTCAGCTTGAGGATTTGAATAGGGTGGATGTATATATTTTACTAATTCAAATTGCAAAAATATGTAACTACTTTTTAAATAGAATATAAATGTTAAAACAGACAAATCTGTTATATATTTTTAAATATGTGTATCAAACTTTTGTTAGTTGGATATAGGTTACGTTGTGTGCTTTATGAATTCATAACTTTTAATAATAAAGCAGTTGTCATTTGATATTTTTCCCTGTATACTTGAATACTAATTGGATAGGCACTAGACTTTAAAACATCTGTATAATGGTTTTCTCTTTAGGAAATCAAGTATGTTCTTTCAAGGATTTTGGAAACAAACTTCTTCATTTTAGAATGAATGCTGTAGAATGAAGATAAATGCTTAACAGATCATCTTTACTTAAGTATGGCTAGTCCTGGGTGGAGCAAGGTGGCATGCGTCTGTAAACCCAGCGATTTAGGAGACTCGAGACAAGAGAATCAAAAGCATCAGGCCATATTTGTCAATGTACTGAAATCCTGTCAAAAATAACAATTTAAAAAGGGTTGGGAGCTGGATACCGGTGGTTCACACCTCTAATCGTAGCTACTCAGGATGCTGAGATCTAGGATCACGGTTCAAACGCCAGCCTCGCAGCAAAGTCTGAGATTCATCCCAAAAGCCAGAAGTGGAGCTTGGCTTATTGTGGTAGAGCACTAGCCTTGAGTAAAAAGTCTAAGGGACAGTGCTCAGTGTCTGAGTGAGAGTTCCAGGAGAGGCACCAAAGAGGGGAGGAGGAAGTGGGTTGGAAGGGGGAGGGATTGGGAGGTATGTGGAGGCTGAAGCCAGCCCAAGTAGTAAAGTCTGTGACTTGTCCAATAAATATCCATACAAGGCTGGTTGGAGTTCTAGCTCAAGTGGTAGAGCACCAGCCTTGAGCAAAAGCTTAAGGACATTGCCCAGGCCCTGAGTTCAAGCCTTGGGAATGGCACATACAAAAAGGTTTGGGGATAGGAGCAGCTGCCTAGCATGTATGAAACCTAGCATTTAATCTCCAGGACCACGATAAACCCACAAATCCTTATTAAATACTAGAGTTTTCAGAATTTCAGATCAGAAAATAAGGGAGTACCATAAGAAAACTTTCAGATGCTTTTCTTAGTATACAAATATAACTCATTTATTTAAATGAGTAGTTCTTGAACCTACAAGAAGAAAGAAAAAAAGCAAAAGGAGGGAATATCACTACATATGTTATTCCAGAAACAAGTTCTGCTGATACTAGGTTTTTTTTTTCCCCAGAGGATCTGCTTTGCCCTAAGGAGCACTTTAGCTTATTTTTAAGCAGTCATAACAGCATAAAATTATATTTTAATGGGGTTTTCTTTGATTCCTAAACAACTAAAGTAGATTATTAGATAAATGTAGGAACTTCCTTTGTACTTTAGTAAGCTAATTAGGTAAAAGGATTTCTACCTCCTATAGTTTATGTTTAAGATGCTGTGTTTTTCCCCTCAATACTTTTTTTTTGCGGGGGGGGGGGGGGTCTTTTCTTTTTCTTGTTTGGTTGGTCATGGGGCCTGAACTCTGGGCCTGGGCGCTGTCCCTCAGCTTTTCAGCTCAAGGCTAACAGTCTACCACTGAGCCACCTTCCCAGCCCCCTCAATACTTTTTATATTAATGTAACACACAAAATTAAGCAAGCTGAATTGAAAGGACAAATGATACAACTTCAGGCCTTAGTATTTTCTCGATTTTGGGGGGAGTGGGAGGAGTGGGATGGTTGCTGGTTCTGGGGTTTGAATTCAGGGCCTTATATTCTTACTCTTGCTCAGCATTCTTGCTCACCTCTGGTGCTCTACCACTTCAACCATGCCAGCTTTCTTTTTCTGATTAATTGAAGATGTCGTCAAATGGACTTGTCTGCTTGGGTTTGTTGAACCCAGATCTAGGTCTCAGCCTCATAATGAGCTAATTTTATGGGTGTGAGCCCCCAGTACTTAGCTCAACAATTTTGTTTTATTTTTGTTTAGTCTTGCTGAGTCTGTTGAGAAAACATCATTGAAACTATTTCTCTCTAGTCTCCTTTACTAGTGTAGCCTTTCAGTACCTGGCCCTAGGGTTCCAAGCATCTTGTTCCATCCATAGTAATAATACAGGACTTCACTATACTTGCTAATGTACTGTGTGTAGAGTATCACAATCTACTTTTTTACCTGGAAGCTGTGTTTCTATGTAGTTGAGATTCAGATGTGATGAG